GTTCCGTACTTCTTTCAATTGAATGAAAAGGAGTTTTAGATAATTTTGCGTCAACACAAATTTCACATTTATGATTTGAAACAATGTCAAATTTAGGTAAACATTCCATATTAATTAATCTACGCAAAGATCCATAATTAACATGTCCTAGTCTACCATGCCATAAATTTGAAGACTCAAGCAAGTAAGAAGAAGATATAGTATTATTAATAACTGAGGGTACAACGATCATTACATTTAATTTGAAAAGGCCATCAGACATGTAACATTTTCCAACATACATTCGATTTTTTGTAAGAACAAATTTATCACTCTCAAATACTAGTCTAAACCCATTCTTACTCAATAAAGATCCGGATACAAGATTCTTGCGAATGTCCGGTACATGCAGCACACTGTTGAGAGTGAGTTCCTTTCCTGAAGTCATCTTGAGAACAATCTTTCCTTGTCCTTCAACTTTGGAAGTTGAGGAGTTGCCCATAAAAAGTTGTTCACTATTGTCCACTGTAGAATAGGATGTGAACATCTTTTTGTCGGCACAAATATGACGAGCAGCACCAATGTCCACCCACCATTCTTTAGGATTTCCGACAAGATTTGCCTCGGAAATAATTGCAGAAAGATTGATGTCATCGACACCATTGGAAATATTGTCCACTTCGGTCATATGGGCTTGAGCAGGCTTCTTGCTTGTTCTCCTTTGGCTTTTGCCTTTGCTACGGTAATCTTTGGTCTGATGTCCCTCTTTGTCACAGATGTAACATTTGCCATTAAACTTGTATTTTTTATTTCCCCCCCCCCCTTTAGAGCCTTGTGATGAACTTTCTCTTGAAGACTTTCGTTTCTTGGTTTTTGAAGCATGTTCCACCACATTTGCCTTAGACTCGATACGATGCTTACCAGCCCGCTTTTCAGAATTGTAGTTGTCTTCCTCAATTTTCAAACGCACAATTAATTCGTCCATAGAAATTTCTTTGCGCTTGTGTTTGAGGTAGTTCTTCAATTCCTTCCAGCCTTTTGGTAATTTTTCAATTAAGGCTACAACTTGGAAGGATTCACTGAGAGACATGCCTTCTGCGTGAATGTCATGCAGAATGAGTTGGAAATCTTAAGCTTGGCTAATCACAGTTTTTGAATCAACCATTACAAAATTCAGGAATCTGCCTACCACAAATTTCTTTGAGCCGGCATCTTCCATTTTGTACTTTTTCTCTAACGATTCCCAAAGTTCCTATTAGACTGTAGACGTTGTATAATGTGTTGTCAAGTCCGTTCAAGATGTAGTTCTAGCAAAGGAAATCGGCATGTTTCCAAGCATCAACCGCAGCAACCACTTGCCTGTCGGTTTCATCCTCTTTCAGGATAGGAGCATCTTCACGGAGGAAACGAGCCAGGTTCAGAGTTGTAAGATAGAACAACATTTTATGTTGCCATCTTTTAAAGTCAGTTCCTAAGAACTTCTCTGGCTTTTCACCGTGATTTACCGGTACTGTTACAAACAAACAGGGGGTAAGAAAGGTAAATTATCGCCCCGTTACATTAGGCCGTTTCAAATTCTGGAAAGGTTAATTCTGTAAAATAAAAGAAATAAGAATAATAACTTTTATTTTTCAATTAATTTGGAAATAAAATAAAATTTTATTCAACCAAATTAATTCCACACAGGAAATTAAATTCTGTAAAAATAAAAGAAATAAGAAAATAACTTTTATTTTTCAATTAATTTGGAAATAAAATAAAATTTTATTCAACCAAATTAATTCCACACAGGAAATTAAATTCTGTAAAAATAAAAGAAATAAGAAAATAACTTTTATTTTTCAATTAATTTGGAAATAAAATAAAATTTTATTTAACCAAATTAATTCCACACAGAAAATTAATTTCAGTAACACTTCAATAATTAAAATACTGAAAACAGAATTTTATTTAATGAAAACTCATAAAATAATTTCTAAAAAACCAAAATTAATTTTCTGACAAAATTTCACAAAAATATATTCTGAATTGTTAATGACACCAGTATCGTACTACTAGTTGTCAAAGAAAAGAGACAGTATATTACTACTATCTGTCAAATAGCATATAACCACTATTTGTTTTTCCAACCAGAATATTATTTTGTAAATTCACAGAAAATAATTTTCTTCAAAGAAAAAAGAGAAAACGAAACAAACGAAAAAATTCTGTAAACAGAATAAATTCGGATCTGTCTTAAGATTATTGGAACAATCTTCTGTGTAAACAAAATAAACTGAAATTAAATCAAACAAAATAAAATAAATCTTACAGAATTTATTTCGTTGAACCGAATAAATAATTCAAGACCAAGTCGAGTGTGTGACACTCTGTCCTTAAGACAGATTTGCCCCGCTATGGTGCTTACGGTTGAGTGGCGTCTATCTCCTATGATACAATGATCTTCACAAATTTGTAGAAGCACTTCAAACAAATTTGTTCGGCGAACTAAACCTGTGATCTATACTCTCTTTAAATTATTCTAAGACTAAATATAAAGAATAAATGCACTAGAGATAAAATTAGACAGCAATGAGACAAAATAACAGACTGAATTTTTTTCGACCCCTAGACTGCTGGAATCAGATTGAATTTATAGACAACTACAATAGACCCGAATAGGTGCAATATGGAAATGAATAGGTGCCCAATAGTTTTGAACAGATTTGATTCAAATGAACAGGTGCACTTCTTAAGTCAAACAAATTTGACCGTTGCTGAGACCAAATTTTCAAACAAATTAAAAAATGATCTGTTGGTTGTAACAGTTTCAAAACTGTTGGAATGCTTGGAATGCTTTTATTAAACTATTTAAATAGTTTAATCAATTTTAGGAAATCACTTAAGGAAACCAAAAATAAATTTATTTCAAATTAGATTCCCATTATAATTTTTATTGAAAAAATTCAAACGAATTTTGCCTAAAAAATTAATGTTAAAATCGAAAACGACGTCAACTTTTCATTCACTCATAAATGGTTTTGACGGTCCGTCTTCACCGTGTGACTTGCCACGTGGCAAGGAACACATCATCTCTTCGAACCCACCCCAAAAGACGTTTGGGGCCCACTCAATTTTGGCCTCAAAGTTGGCCCAAAATAAGCCATATAAAACACCATTTTTTCCAACAATGCCTACTTGCAGACACTAGCTTAGGGATTACCAGTGTCGTATTTACCGCCCCTTATTCTATGAAATAGATAATTGAATTGGTTATGCTTTTGAACAAGTGCATGGCATAAGAGTTTCAAAATGAGAAAATCTATGATTTTTGGCATTGGCATCTCATATGTATTGCACCTCATGATATCATTAAACTACATGCACTTTATTTAGATTATCTCTGCTAGGCTTTATACTCATCCCTTAGTGGAAACCATTTTTCAGGTGATTGTGGTATGCCTCCGCCAAAGTGAAGGCGTGGAGGATCTTTTGAAGCACAAGGCTCAATTATTTATTTGTTTTGTTTTCTTTGCAAGTCAAGGGCTATCTATGTATGGGTTTGAAAACCACTTTGTTGTAACTGGGCAAAGCCTTAGAACTTGTAACCGTTAAGGCATTAATTTGTGTTTTGTTGCTTTAACTTGTTATTATCACATGCTATAAAAATTTATATCTTAAGGATGATGAATGTATTAATGCAAGTGGTCTCTCTTTTGTAAAATCTCATGTTGGATATCGTTAATAGAAAAATGGTGATTTAGTATGAATGTTGACTATTGAAATGTCTATATTATTCAATGTTCTTGTATGTAATAATGAGAAGTAATGAGATTTAGATTATGCCTATGAGTTAATCTAGATATATCATATGTCAATATTTTTTGGGGCGTTACACTCTACCCCATAGCCATCACCTCATCCACTACATCGCACTTAGCCATGAACTCTGAAGAAAAAATTGTGACATAATCAATTGAAAATAATAACATTAACTAACTTTTAATATCTATAGCAAAAGAGTTTAAAAGTGTTGCAGTGATCTATTGCATGAAATAATATATTGAGCAATAAGAAAGTTTTATATGGTGTGAAAAAAATGTTCATGATTTTGTAATAGTTAGGGTTTTGCATAGAGAGAGAGAGAGAGAGAATAGATTGAAAATAAAAGAGAAGGAAGAAAGAATTTTAATTTTTTTTTTTGAATTTTTGTAAAAGATAATAGGTTTGGATAAATCAAGAAGGAGTTTCTTTTAACTTCCATTTTAAAAAATATAAATAGTATTTTTTAATTATTATTAATGTGTTAGCCAATAGCATTTTTTTAAATTATTTGTTAATTTAAAAATTCATAAATTCAATTAAAAGTTTTGTAGCTCCCGCAAGACTTCTCATGAAAAGTCACTTTGTTATAATATATAGTAAAGATTATATCAAATTAGACCATTATATATCTACAAGCCAACAATCAATTCAAAGAACCAACAAGCCTAATCCCTGTAAAGAAACCATTAATCTAATTAGACCATTATGTATCTACAAGTCCAACAATCAATTCAAAGAACCATCAAGCCTAATCACTAAAGAAACCACTAATCCAACCCAATAATTCCCTTCCCCCCCCCCCCCAAAAAAAAACCCCAAAAAAAACCAAAAAAAAAAAGTACATTAAACTTATGGGTAAATCAATACGAACAATGCATAACAGAGTGGCTAATGACCACCATTTTTTAAACAAATTGGAGGCCATAAAATAATCTATATAAAAAAAGAGTTTTTTTTATGGATCGAGAGATCCTAAAGTTCTCATTCAATCAAAATATTTAAGAAATATGTATGGCTAACATTTGGTCAAATTCATAAATTTCGTGCAAATCTATTTTGATTAAGGTCTCTTTTCTCCAATTTCTTAGCAAAAATCATGGCGTCCCACATATTGGTTTTCTTAATTTTGCATCTCAAAAAAGTTCATGCATTTTCTTTCAAAAGGGCTTCAATATGTTTGTGATACTATAGTTAGAGACCAAACCTACGTTAGATCAAAGAGAATTTAGCTTAATTGAGGTTACTATAGGATTTATTAGAGAATCTTGTCACTATGGGAAACTTGTTCCTAGACCAAATTAAAAAGCAGGCATCTTCATTTCTACATGAGAAATACAAAACTGTAAAGCTAGTCTTGACTGACGTTACTGAAGCCGAATTGTAAGTAAAATCTTCTTATTTCCTTATTTGAAATTTTTTTTTTTAAATTATAATCGAAATTTTCAAGGATTGTATGATTGGCTTCAAAATAATTTCTTACATGTTGTATTTTCATTTTCAGTTTCATTTGACACTATATCTACATCTTGTCTTAAAGGTTGGCTGAAGATGCAACAAATAATGATCCATGTACTCCTAATGCTAGAACAATGAATACGATAGCACAAGCAGCATTCGATATAGATAATTACTGGGGAATCGTTGATGTCCTTCACAGGAGGTAATTTTTTAGATTTACATTTCTAATCTTGTGTTCTTTTTCGTGTCAATTTTTTAAAAAACTCATTAAGAGACAAATGGTCTAATCATTTCTATGGTTTTGAACAAAATGTAGGTTGTATAGCATCGATTGGAAGGAATGGAGGCAATCCTACAAATCGCTAGTATTGCTCGATTTCTTACTAACTCATGGTCCTGAAGACTTTGCTGAAGAATTCAAATGCGACTATGATGTCATTCAAGAGCTTGGAATGTTTGAACACAAAGACAAAAATGGGTAGCTCGAAGAAATTTCTTTTTTTCCCCCAATTCAAAATGTCAATAATAAGATAATGATCATTACATGTTTGTTCATGATCTATTTTCTTATTGTTTTTCACATAGGATTGATTGGGGGATGAACATGCGAAAGCTATCAGAACGGATACTAAATCTTCTACAAGGAGGAGAGACACTAAAACAAGCACGTTTAAAAGCTCTCAAAATCACGAAAGAAATCCAAGGATTTGGTAATTTAATGGTGTCTCCTTCCACATCCTCATCCTCATCCTCGTCATCCTCAGAAATGTCGGGAACTTCATCTTTTGGCTCATGTTCTAGCTCAAGCCCTTCATGGAATGAAATAGTAGATGAAACAAACAAATATGATCAACATCCAACCACTAAACAAGCCATAGCACAAGGACAAATACAAGACAAGAAATTTAGCAACCCAATGGGTAACAAGAATATTGATGGGTCACATGTTTGGAATTGCCCCCCTATAGAAGAAACGGGTTCTTTACTCGATTCTGAAGATGAGAATGAAGAAAAAGAAAAATCACACGGTTTTATAAGTGGAATTTGCTCGAAGCTTGTTGGCAATAGTCCTTCGAAATATAATGGTGAGAAAGTATCATTTAGGAGTATTTCTGATGTTGGAATGCTAACGAGAAAAAATAAGATAGATCGCCAGTTCTCAAGTGAATATTGATTTTTTTTTATTATTATTATTGGCAAGTGCAATATTGATTAGGAGTATGTTTTGTTTAGACCATTGAATTTTTGTATAAATCTAGAGGTCCCTTAAGATAATGTGCCAGGAAGGTTATTCCTTATTTACTTTCTTCATTTTCTCTCCCTATGTTTTATTGCTTGCAATTTTTTCCCATAAATTCAGAAAAATAATCTTAAACTACATGAATAAACAGATTAGTGCTTTAAATTTTTTTTTTCCAGCTTCTTGTTTTAAAATTTGTAGCATACAACCTTGGAAAAAAAATTAAAAATGTTAAAAATTAAAATGTTATTCTAGTGAAACCAATCCATAAGGTTCTGCGTATCTTCAGATTAAACTTGCACTAGCTAGCCTTAATTTCTTTCGGGCCTATGATTTTGGTTTGGGGAAATTACCCATAGGTCCCATGTGAAAAATGTGGACACCATTTTAATCCCATAACTTTTTGAGTACACCCCAAAGTCCTTTCCCCTCTCTCTCTGTTTTTTGCTTCCCTCTTTACGCCTCCTCCTCTAACCCTAATCTCAGTCCTAAAGTCAAACAAGAAGGCGATGAAGAACAAGAACAAGAAGACGATGAAGAACAAGAACAAGAAGACACTCATCCTTAGATCTGTGCTTAGATTGAACAGATTTGTGTATATATCTTTGTCAATTTCTCTCTCTTTCTCTCTCTATTTACAGATTTTTTTTGGGATAGTTGTTGATCTATGGTTGTTGTTGTTGATGATGAAATAGATCTATAATATCATTGAAACAGATCTGTAATGACTCAGATTTGTACAGATATCACACAGATTTGTAATGAGAAAATTTTCGAATTCTGAACAAGTAATTTTCGAGTTTTAGTTACAGGCGGTGAAAACTGTAAAATTTTACAGTTTCAATTTTTTTTTTTGGTACTGGAATGAATCATGGTTTAAAACTGTAAAATTTTGCAGTTTTATAACATTTTTTAGAACTGTAAAATTTTACAGTTTCATAACATGTTTTAAACATTCCGACGAGTCTCCAGCGATGTTTAACATTCCGACGAGTCTCCGGCGACCGTTTGACGGAAGTCCGACGGTAGTAAGATGTGAACAGTGTCTGTAAATTAAAAAAAAAAAAAAGGATTTTTTGGTAACAATTAAAAATGTATTGGACTAATTGGTGCAAGTATTTTGTTTTGGAATTAGCTGAATTTTAAACTTAGTACATGAGACTTATCAGTAAGTTCCCCTTTTGATTTTGGACTTGAATGAATTGGTTTGGGCTTTCATTTGTTGACTTATCAATACGTAAAGACTGAAATTTTTTTATTACTTCCAGCTTAGTTTACCAAAAAAAAAGACTGCAACTTTTGGAAACTTTTTTTTGCCAAAATTTCAGACCCGAGTTGGCAGCAGTCTTGCTTTCGTTAGTGTTAGAGGGGTGTGCGTAGTGTGGTTCGAGTGGTTTGAGAGTAAAATTATAAATTGAATGGCGGGTTAGCAGATTAGCGGATTAGCGGATTGACAAATTGCGGTTTGGATGATTTTTAGCGGATTGAAAAATATTCTAACTAATTATTATATAGTTGCATAACATATAATACTAATTTGTATAATATTTTTAAAATATATGACACAAAGTAATTTTACATAATGTGTTTCATATATATAACCACTAATTTGTAATAAATTTCATATTTTAAATCTCTCTCACACTCATTTTTACATTGATATTTCATTTGAAGTTAAAAAATATGTATCTATTAACTATAGCGGAGCGGAACAGTTCGGTTGGTGGATTATAAATTTTAAATTTTAAACCGCAATTAGCGATTAAAGCAGTACAAATTAATACGAACCAGTACGATTTTAACAAATTAGGCGATATTTTGCATAGCCCTAAGTGTTAGCATCGGCCCAATAGGATACTTTTGCCACTGGTCTTCTTTTCAATTTTTACGCATTTCACCGCACCACAAGAAATTTCCCTACCCTATTGCACTCTAGTTTATTAGTTTCCATTGCTTGGTGCGGTATGGATCATCCGCAAAATGAATTTGATCTATGAGTAGTTATCTTATCTTTTTAAAATATCATATTAGTTATGTGCTTATCTAATAGCAGAGGGCTAAATGCTTATGTAGTCTGCAAAACAAAAAAATATAGTGTACAAATTACAAAATATCATTGAATGGGTAGACGGAGAAGTAGTATTCTGAATTCATGTAATAATTTATGCTGATCCACAACATTATTATTGCCACATGTATATATTTCTTCTTCTTCTTTTTCTTCTTTTTTTTAATTTGGATTGCTTCAATTAGTTAATCAACAGTTTGATGATGATGAATACATGTGGTCGACCGCTTAATTATTGCTTGTAATGTTGTTGTACATGTCTATATTATCATACCAAACACTACCAGCTTCGAGAACACCTATATTTTCCAAACATTTTCATATTTGTCAATATATGCTTTTAAAGTGTGGGTTGTAGTGTCAAATTGTTCTCTATCAGATGTTAAAAAAGGAGATGGTCCTGCTATGTGAATTGTCAACTTCTGTTTTGAAAGCCAAACATGAAGATCTATCACACTCACCCCCGAAGTTATGCCAAATGAACTTTTCCTTTGATGTTGTTGAATAATAATTTCAAATACTGTTTTTAGAGACAAATTTTCTTTTATATTAAAAAGGTGGAGCAGTTGGATAGAGAGGGCAACAATGTGCTCAATTTCAATGATGCATTCAATGGTGGAGCCTGCTTTCCAAGCCCAAGATGGGGTTCTTTGACAAAGGTGTGTGTGTGTGTTTTTTTTGTCCGCTTTTTAAGTTAAAAAAAAAAAAAGGGTTTGTCGGAATTTTTTTTTTTGATGTAATGATGTGATTGTTTGTTGTCCTTTTATGTCAAATTAAAACACTTACATTTATTATTCTATACAAATTTTTTCCACAAAACTATGTTTATAATTTTTTTAATTAAAAATAATTAATTTATCCCATCATATGACCAAAGAGTAGTAAGAATGAGTGATCCCCTGTAAATAGGTATGTTGGGAAAAAATTTAACCGTGTAGTAAAACATTTCAAAAAAATTTCATGTCCGATGTAACAAGAAAAGCAAGGAACCTACTACTACCATTGACCCACAAACCTTCAAAAAAGGAAGCCTTCTGCATGCTGGTGAGCCAAAGCACATTGGGTCCACACTTCACTATAAGGTCTCTCTAAAACGTATAAATATTTTATGGAAGCTTGCTAATAAGTCTTATACATAAAGTTCAAAATTGATCTAATCTCAAAATAAAACACTTGTACCAATTAATCCTGTGTATTTTTTATTGTTACTAATTTTTATTTTTTTTTCAAATTTACAGACGTTGCTATATCCTACTACTATCGAACTTCCGTCAAACGATTACCGGAGACTCGTCGGAATGTTCAACATCACCGGGAACTCGTCGGAGTATCGCCAAAAGTTTATCGGAGTGTTCTAAATATCAATGGAAGTCGCTGAAATGTCCAGAACGTTCGCTGAACATTAAGAATATCGTTGGAGACTCACTAGAATATCCAGAATATTGCCGGGGAAAAAAAAAAGAATAAATGGAGAAATTATAGCGAAAAAACATAACAAAATGTGATAAATATCGATAAACTAAAAAGAAAAAAAATGTAACAACAAAAAACAGCAACAATGAGAAAAATATATGTTATTTTTTAATTTTTGTAAAATTTAAGCAAATAATCTCTAATATTGATCAAACTGAAAAGCAAGTTTTGAAACTATAAAATGTTACAGTTTCAAAGTAAAAATCTATTAAGTATTTATCCTTATTAATCAAACTGAAAAACGTGTTATGAAACTGTAAAATTTTACAGTTCTAAAAAATGTTATGAAACTGTAAAATTTTACAATTTTAAACTATGATTCATTCCAGCACCAAAAAAATTGAAACTGCAAAATTTTACAGTTTTCACCACCTGTAACTAAAACTCGAAAATAACTTGTTCAGAATTTCAAAATTTTCTCCATTAAAACTGGAAAAGAGAAGTGTATAGTAGAGAAAATATAAAAAAATTAAGGCTGTGTTTGGTGTGGAGTTCTAATAATGACTCCACACCCATTTTTGAGTATGGTGTTTGGTTACAACTTTCAAAAATTAATTCACACCACTATTGAAAACTCGTTTCAGGCGGGATTTGAATTTTGAAATTTAGCCTACCCGGTCGTCCTCCGGAACGTCTGGCCTGTCATCCAGTCGGTTGACCAAAACAGTGCAATGTTTTTTTTTTTTGGCAATTGGCACCTGTTATTTTTTATATATTTAATAAAAAATATGTTTTGAATTTTTTCGAATTTTTTATGAGCTTTGGATAGAATTTTGGGTTGTGTGTTTAGTTATGAGTTGTAAGTTTTTTAATGAAATATCATATGTCACATCAATTATTCCAAACTCAATTCAAAACTCTTTTCAAAACTCATAACCAAACAAATTTTCCATACTCAAATCATAATTTCAAAACTCACAAACTCAAAATAAAACTCTATTTTCAAATCATAATTCTAAAACTCTAAATGCAGCCTAAGAGATCGAAGGAAAGAGACAGATATAGAAAGAGGATTGTATTCTAACAATTATTTTTTGTTTAGATTTAGACGGATCTGATGTAGATCTACATCGGATCTGAGTAGATCTACTCATCTTCTTCGTCAAAAACATATCTTCTTTACCATTGGTGAGGATAAAGTAAGGAGTCGGTGGTCGGTAGTTACTGGTGAACCTCAATCGATGGTAGTCATTGGTTGTCGGTGACTATATATCAAAGAGAAAAAGTAAGACCTGGTTGCCCGTCGATGATTGCCAAAAATCAGAAAAAGAAAGAGGTAGAGAAGAACAAAAGCAGAGAAGAAGAAAAACGTTACAGGACTTTTAAGTATAAACAAAAGATTATGATAATAAGTTACACCTTTTTCAAAGAGTACTTCTTAGTGGCCAATTAGGAAAAGCAAAGCTGCATTTTGCAGCATGAGAAAAAAAGCCATAAGCAGCTATAAACAAAACAAAATCATTTGGGAAGTGATAAAAAATGCAAATATATGAAATTACGTAACTACCCTCAAT